TTGTCAAGCTCCTGAGGGCCACCCCCCAGCACTGGACCCGCCGGTCCCGTCCTGCATGTGCTGTCGTGGGCGTGGGGCTGAGCACGGCAGACTCGTGGCACTAGTGACTTTGTGCCCGGGCCCGCAGGGGACTACTCTGGGGGCTCCCGCCCTGCTCTGTCAGGGACGTGCCCGGCTGCGGGGCTGGCATGGGCACAGGTGCAGGTGGTGCCGGGCTGCGTGGGCTAACGAGGATCGCTCATCAGTACAGGGCCGGGGGGCAGGCTGGACCCCTGCTCGGGAGTCAGCAGAGGGGCGAGGGGTGCGGGGTCCGGCCGCCTCGTCCTGGCTGAGCTGTATGGCGGTATGAGCTGTCCCCCCGGCGCGGGTGTCTGTTGTGTTCTGCAGACGTACAGTGCCGAGCGCGGCGCGGCCGCAGCACCGAGCCGCCGCATGCGTCGGGGGTTGGCTGCGGGCCCCGCTGGCACTGGCACCCCAGTCGGGTCCCATCCAGCATCTTCCCCTGGCTCTGGCAGGGCTTGGGGTCTCTGCTGGACCCTTGTCCCCGGCCTGGCTGGAGCAGGTGGGTGCAGAGTTGGGCCCCGGGGGAGACGCGGGCAGCACCAGAGCGGCCCCGATCCCTGGACCCGTTTGGGGCGAGGAATCCGGCCTGCCCCTGCACATTTTGGGGGGAGGCAGATGGCGATGCCTGGGCCCTGGGTGCTGGGCTGGTCACTCAGCACTCACAGAATCAGGCCTGTGCCTGCTCACAGCCTCCTGGAGGGTCCCTGGCACGGGACGATGACTGGGTTGGGGCGGGGGTCCCTGCCCTCTGCAGCCCAGGGCCAGTCCTGGCCCCGACGCTGCAGGGAGATTCCCCGGCCCCGTTGGGCTCGAGGCTCCTGCTCCCTGGTGCTGGGGCGGGCAGAGCGAGGCAGCCTCGTGGATCCGGTGCCCGGCTGCGTCGTCGCTGTGCCCCAGCACGGGGTGGGGGCGGCTGGAGCTGCCAGGGAGCGGGCAGCGTGCCGCGGAGCCCCAGCGCCCGGGGTGCGGAGAGCATTGCAGCCTCGGTTGGTTTTCCTCGCAGCTGAGCGGGGAACCTGGGGGCCAGCACGGCACCCCGGCCCGGGGGGCTCGATCCTGGGGGGGGGGGCGGGGGGGGGGGGGGG